GAGATGAGGGGCACCTTTGATTGTCCCTGAGAAGTGCTTGGATTTGGGATTTTGGTTTAAATTTAGCTTTTGCATTGTCTAAATCTAGCTTTTTCCATTTCCTTTCTTTTGTTCTTTCCCTTCAAGATTTTGGTTTAAATTTAGCTTTTTGCATTGTCTAAATCTCCATTTCCTTCTAGGTTTTTGTCATTCCTTTTTTTTTGTTCTTTCCTTTTTGTTCATCTTCATGGCAAATTAGCAATCTCCTCTTTTGACTCTAGAGCAGCAATTGGTACAATTACTTGATGCTATGCACTTGCAATTGAACAACAAAACTCAGTTAATGGCAGCGTGGTACAACTCCTCCTGCTTTTGGTGTCAATCCTCGCGTTCGGCTGGAGTTTTTTCATGGGAATCTTGGGGATGATGTATACCATTGGTTTGATCACTTCATGGTGATTGCCACATATCATTCTTGAGATGATGCTCGATGTTTGCATGAGTTTCCCACGTGTCTCCAAGGGACAACATTATAGTGGTACAATAGTTTGAGTGTAGCCACTCGTGGGGATTGGAGTGTTCTCCTGGACATCTTCAAATGCACATTCAAACATGTCGACGATTGTGATGATGCCTTCCAACAATTGCATCATCTTCGCCAAGAGCCATTGAGTCAGTGATGTAATTTAGTATTCGTTTTCGAAGTCTTTTGTGGAGCCAAATATGTCGGAGCAGATCAAGCTAGGAATGTTGTGGCCAGCATTTTATCAAGATTTTGTTGGATTTATGCATGCACTTGCTCCAGCCACCTTAATGATGCGCTTTGTTTGGCACAACGTTATGAAACGTCACCTCTTCCACTTCTCACTACCCGTCCTTCCACTCCTCTTCCTGTGGGTGATGGTCCTATTCCAATGGAGGTTGATGCTGCTCGAGTCCAAAGACAAGGGCGAGGACGTGGTCATGGCCGTGACATTCGCTATTGGGCACGTAATGAAGTTGGTCACACTTATTGGCATTGTTGGCATTTTCCAGATTGGTGACCTCCATTTCCTGGGTGGAGACCTTGGCATCAATAACGTCCTGTTGGTGCTGCTGCAGTGGAAGGTCTAGACACTGAGATGCATCCAAGAAATGAGGAGTCGCGCAAGTAATAGAGCAACCTTGCGCAAATAAGTCAGTGATCCTTCCATCTTTCTTTCAAGAGTATCATCAAGGGGTTCACTCAGCACCGATTCATCCAGTATTTACTTTCCAAGCTTGTTTTTATAACAAGAAGTCTCCTATTATTCTCTATTGGTTATTATTGTTTGATATAAGTTCAAGTTTATCTTCCATTGCTCGATCTGTTGCCACACGTTGCCGTTTACACTTGCGTCATATGGCGGAACCAGTTTTCATTCTTTATGGCAACGGCCGTACACATGCATATGCACTGGATGAGGTGGACCTGGTTGTGCGTGTGAGCGATCTCGAGCTTGAGTTGCAGTCATTGTGGGTGGTGCCGAGTCAAGCTTTTGACCTTATTCTTGGTATGGATTGGTTGCAACGCAATCATGCCAAGTGTGATTTTGAGGCTTCTCCCTCTTGTCTCATACTTCCTTATGTTTCATCCATTCCTCTCACTTTTGTACCTCTTTGTCCTTCTATTTCTACCTCTGCTTCCATTACTTTTGTTCCCCCACTATTTCTTCCTATGTTTCCATTTTGTTCTGCTCTTCCCTTTTCCGATCCCTCCGATGATCTTTGTGTTGCAGTGGTGGACCAGCTCATGAAGGAGTATTCTAATCTCTTTGAATTTAACCTATCATCTGGGGCCAAGATTGCCCCGGTTGTCATCCAATTCCAACCGGGGATGCCCGTCCAATCAATGTTTCTGTTCGTCGTCGGTCACCCAAAGAGATCAAGATTTTAAGTGCAAACGTTAAGGAGATGTTGGAGAAGGGTCTTATTCAGAAGTCGCGGAGTCCTTGGGCATATGAACTTCATCTTGTGACGAAGCTTGATGAGAGTATTCATTTCTGCATCAACTATCGTCCATTAAACAAAGTGACGATCTTGGATGTGTACCCTCTTCCTCACACTGCTGATCTCTTAGATCATCTGGGGCGAAGTCGTTAATTCACCAAGCTAGATCTTGCTTCTGGGTACTAGCAAGTACCAATGGCTGAAGAAGATATTCCTAAGACTACTTTTCGTACACCATTTGGATTGTATGAGTTCTTGGTGATGCCGTTTAGTTTGAACAATGCTCCAGCAACTTTCTAGCGGATGATGGATGAGGTTCTTTGTGATATGCCAAAGGTGACTGCTAACTTCATTGATGATGTCTTGATCCACTCAGAGAGGACGTGGGAGGAGCACATTCGTGATGTTCATAAAGTGTTGGATCGGCTACGGGACGTTGGTTTAAAGCTAAAGCGATTGAAGTGCGTGTTTGTGTCCAAGGACACAACTTATTTTGGGTACCATATTTCTTGTAAGGGTTTGCAAGTTGATCCTGACAAACTTGTGGCTATTCTAAAGTTCCCTATTCCGAAGTGTGTAAATGATGTGCAGCACTTCTTGGACAAGGTGCAGTATCTCGGTCACTTTGTGGATCATCTTTCTGATCGCACTATACCATTGCAAGCGTTGCTGAAGCCATCAACATCATCTTTCATCTAATCTTTGGATTATGAGCAGGCATTCATGAATCTCAAAGAGCTATTGATGACTCGTCCAGTTTTGGCATATCCTAACTACACTTGACCTTTTATTTTGCGTGTGGATGCTTTTAACATTAGTCTTGGAGGTGTGTTGATGCAAAAGAGCTCGAGTGTGCTTGGTCAGTGCCATCCTATTGTGTATATAAGTTGTACATTATAACCAATGGAGATGAACTACTCCATGACAGAGGAGTGTTTAACAGCAATCTGGGGTTTCGAGAAACTTTATGTATATATACATGGTTCTCAGACGTTATTTGAAGGTGAACATGCTACTGTTACTTCATTATTGAAGCGGAAGAACATGGTTAGTCATACTACTTAATGGGCTTTGAAGCTCCATATTTATGATTTTGATGTTGTTCATCGCTTAGAGAATTCTATGGCTGATGTTGATGCCCTTTCTTAAACTCCTCTTCCTTCTCCACTCTCTTTTCATATTTCTGACGAGCCTATTGTTCTAGCATCTGTGGATTTTTTAGACAAGGATTTTGTGCTATCGGCGGTTAGGTTCGCGAGGCTAAGATTAATTCATGGATTTGAAGGCTTCGAGATGGGTTTGAGAATCCTACATCACTTGCTAATAATTTACTTTTCTGGCATTTACATTCTCAATATCTCTTTGAAGATGGCCTTTTTTATTTTGTAGAGACAGATCCTGATGATCATTTACGTCTAATGGTGCCTTCTGTCTTTATTCCATAGTTTCTCCATGCCTACCATAATTCTCCTATTCTAGGTAGGCATATGGGACAACGTCGTGTAATCGAGAAGTTGCACAAGTCTTTCTATTGGTTGGAGATGCGACATGATATTATCCGGTATGTGGGTAGCTGGGTTTAGTGCTAAGTTCGTAATACTCCTCCTCGTGCTGCGGAAGGACGGTTGGAGTCAATTGTAGTTTCCCATCCATTTGAGTTGGTGGCGTTTGATCTTATGAGACATTTTCCACAGCCGATTGCTGGCAATGAGTATGTTATTATTGCTTTTGACTACTTGACTTATTGGGTGGAAGTTGGTGCTCTTGCTAGTGCCTCTACAATTGCTGTTGGATACTTCCTCAATCAAATAGTATTCCAACATTCTTGTCCAAAACAGATTCTTTCGAATAATGGTCCTGCATTTATAGCTGAGGCATTTCATGTTTTGAAGTTTTAGTCGGGGATACGCCACACTTTCATGAGTGTTTATCATCCACAATCAGATGGTTTAGTGGAACGGCTCATTCAGACATTCAAAGGGATGATTACAAAGTATATGAACTTTCAGCATTTGGATTGAGATGGTTATTTGCCGTCTCTTCAGTATGCATATGTCACAAGGGTGCAAAGTTCTATTGGTGCTTCACCATATAAACTCTAATATGGTCATGATCTAATATTACTAATGGAGTTGGGTTTACCTTCGCGAATGCCACGAGCTGCCGATGCTAAGTCGTGGGATTAGTATTTAACGAGAATTTTTCCACTTGTCCAAGTAGAGTTTGCCGAACACTTAGGCTGCGTACAAGTGGGACGCTAAAACTCCCATCATTGTCCACCTACGAAGTACAAAATGGATGATTTAGTGTTAATCTGTTTTCCCCATCTTACGGTATGTGGTTTTTTTAAGGGGCTCCTTCACAGTGGAAAGGACCGTATTGGGTGTTGCGGCAAGTTGGACTACAAGTTTATGAGGTTCAGCATGACATCTAGCAGGCCAATCCTCCAAAGATTGTGCATGTGCAATAGTTGAAACGCTTCATACAAAAGGATCAAGAGCAATTAATACCACCTACGAATTTGTCGATGCCTCCTCCTGACGTTCCTCCAGATCCTGGCCTATCTACGAGAGAACTTTGATGGTCTTCCATTATTCCAAGAGGAGGGAATGATGTGAGGGCCAAGTGTACAGCTATGATGCCGTATACTAATATTAGCATAGTGGGATTTTGGTAGTCATCAGATTGGTTTTAATTTGGACCACTTGCTCTTATATATAAACTAGGGTTTTTGGGTTAATTGATATACACGTTTTCTGTATTCCCTTTCTATAGTCCATGTACTCACTTCCATAATCCATGCACTCACAATATATAATATCTTTAAAATATTTCTATATTTACATCTAAATATCCCATGATTCCACCTTACAAATAATATATTTAAGTTAGGGTGCAGCGTGCAAATCTTGAAAAACCTAGAAGGCCGCACTTGAACGTTGGAAGGCAACCTTGAATCCTGCTTTTGCAGATTCGACATGAGCACGTAGAGCACCAATTCCATCTCCAAGAGTTTCTCTGCGGCACGAGCTGCCGCATCGATGTTCTTGCTGCTACCATGAACTTTGCACATGCTGATCAAGCTCTTCCACGTGAGGAAATGCGGCTGGAAGGGGATCACCAGCAGCAGACCTTTGAGCCCAGCTTGTCCCAGCACATCTGCCATCGCCTGGAAGTGACTCACTTTTGGAGAAATGCTGTACTAGGCCACCATATCGAAAGTAGTCGAGTGCCAGGGTGAGGCGAGAAATGAGATAAGTTTCCAGGTGATTCTCCTGACTTGTAATCACGGTGGGAAGCTCCATGCTGCCAAAAAACTCAGCGGCTTTTCGCTCATGGGCATTCTGTGTGCAGCCAGGGATCATCGCGTTCCACGACACAATGCCTTAATCAGGCAACGTGGATAAGATCTTCCCGGCCTGCAAGAGATTCCCCCTTTGAGCAGCAATCCAGCTCGCTGTGTCTCTCAGCTCCCGCGCTTGGACGAGGGCAATTGCTCTGGATCTAAGCGTGTTTCACGCGACGCTATCGTGCTGTGGCATTTGGTCCAACAAGACTCAAGATCCTGTGCAAAGCAATTGCCGCAACCATTGCCGTCTAAGCGACGAGATCGCTCTGTGGCATCCATGCAAACATCTTCATGGCTTCTTCGAGGTGGCCGTGGTTGGAGTAGGCCAATATGATATTTTGGTTCCGCATTTGAAATTTTCTTCTTTTTCTATAATGCTCATAAAATCTCTCCAGCCCTTCAAATGAGGATCATTAAGTTCCACAAAATCGCCAAGACTCGGAGACAATGCGACTGGAACCAGCATCCATACAATGCAGCAAATAACCTGTACTAAATAAAAATTTGGTTAACAAAACTTGTAAAAGCATCCCAGAGCTTTGCAAATACCCCATACTTATGGAAGCCGCATTTACTACTTTGGATAAAAGCCAAATACAGGTCGGGTATGTAATATTGCTTCTATCTACTCGTTCTTCATCTTCTGGAAGGAGCCTTTGAGCTCGTTGTATGCGAAAACAAAAGAAAAGACAAGAAACAAAATAAAAGAGGCAAACAAAATTCTTGGCTTGTCTTCTGGAAGGAGACTGCCCCGTTTTCACGCCCTGCATAAGAGAAACAATCAATAGAACTTTTGCAGAGGAAGATATACTCCACCTCCGGACAATGGACTGGACACTTGCAGCACCCCACGTCCCCAAAGGCATCCTGGGCAGCGTCACGCCCGAAGACCAGTCGATAGATCTTCTTCATCCTCTCCAGCGAAGCGCCAGCGTACTGACAGACCAGAGTGGCATAGACCTCGGGTTCTTCGGTGATGACATGTGCAGCCACTCCTCCTGCTTGCTGGATTGAGCTGAGCCGTGGTCGTAGCTCGTCAGTGCAAGCGTCGGGCATGTCAAAACCGATTCCCGATGCCGAAGAGAGAGCTGCAATGCTCCTGGGGTCTTGGATGAAGCCGCACCACCACCCAACATCAGGGACGTCCCCGTTCCAGACCGCATCCGGGAACATGCCTGCTACTTTCACTCTGAATGACTCCAGTAGCTTCCTCTTGAACAGGGCTTTGAGCGAACTCAAGGTCGACCGCATCGAAGCCTTCTCCCGGTTTAGTGAAGTGATCTGATCTTTCAAGTCAGCGATCTGCTGCCGCTGCTCCAAGTTCTCCTCTATCAAAGCAGTGATCTGCTCCAGCTGCACCGAGTTCTCATCTTCCCAAGCAGCGATCTTCACATCCAAAGCAGCAATCTGCTCCCGCTGCACCAAGTTAGATCACTGCTTTGAATGTGAAGATTGCTGCCTTGGACGTGAAGATCGCTGCTTTGGAAGACGAGTGTTGTCACAGACTTGCTACCACTAGACTCAGCTGCCATCTCTACCGCTGCCTCCTTCATCTTCCCTTTCTTCTCCTCCTCCACCTGCGCTGCCTGTGCCGCCACCTCTACCGCTGCCTCCCCCTTCATCTTGCCTTTCTTGCACTGCCTGCGCTGCCACTTCCGCGAGCAACTTAGCCTTCGCATAGTTCTGGAAACGCAGCGCCTGCCGGTATAGCAGTCCAGTGTGATCTTTGCTGTTGGCATTAGGGCAGTACGCAACAAAGCCGCCCTGTTCTATGAACTTAACGCACGGCCCAGCCTCCCTTACCATGAGGATGAAGGTTTCGCTCCACGCCAACCTCTTCCGAGAGACCTAGGGTGTTGAGCCACGCGTCCACGTCAGCCACGAAACCATTGTCGTTGCATAGATCGTCCATCTTCGACTCTGGGGCACCGGCCAGTCCTTGCGAAGCTCGTAGTAGAGGATGGTCAGAGACACAGGGCTAACCGGTGGATGCGGCGGAGGTGCCGGCGGCTGCGGTCTCTTCTGCTTCTCCTTGTTCTTGTACCCCATCGCCCCCTAATGCCCTAATCCCGCCGGCTAACCTAGCCTTTCGTAGAAACTTAAATGCCCTAAAAAAGGAAGCGAGCTTGAACTGAAATGTAAGCTTGATCTCTGACTATGACGCCACCGCCCCCGCCGCCTCACCGGGAGCCGAGGAGGACGCCGCCGCCCAAACCATCGCCAAAGAGGGCGCCGACAACTTCATCTCCGCCACCAAAGAGGTCTCCACCGGTGCCAGCCAAGAGGCACAGTCATTCACCACTGGTCAGTGATCAGGATGTGGAGGAGGCGTCTGTGCAAGCGATGGTAGCCGGATACTTTCTGTGCCACAGAGGGACACCACTCACCGGCAATGCCACCAGCGAGTTCTCCTGAGCATCATGGAGATGGACATCCACCAGCGAGTTCTCCAGAACATCATGGAGCTGGACATCCACCACCGAGCCCTCCGCCCACAAAGAGACACCATGGACATCGACGAGCTGGTGATGGAGATGTTACAGGGCCACCACCTTTTTCTTCAGCGCCCAACAAGGCCGACACTGTAACCTGGCGACCAAGGAGGGCCGGGCCGCCATCGCCACCACCTTCGAGCATAACGTGGAACCCAAGGCCGCCATCGCCACCCTTCGACCATAACAAGGCCCCTTGGCTTGGGCACCTCTCCGCCTACTGCGTCGTCAGCACCATCTTCAGCAGCAGCAGCATTCGTGGCATCACCTGGTGTGCCCGCGGCAGGCATCCTGCTCGCGCTGGTAGCCATCGTCACTGGAGTCTGAATACTCTTGAAGCGGAGAAGGAACAAGGTGCACGATGACATCTTGGTGGAGTATGGCCATCAGCCTGGCAGTGGCAACAGCCGCAGCAGCAGCAGCCACCAGGAGCACCTCATTAATGTTCCCCTGACCAAAGTATTGCCTCGACCATCTTCGTAGTTGAATGCAGAAAGAAGGCAGCTGCTGATCCCCGAATTCACAAGCTCCTGAGGCCACCAAGGCGACTACGACCGTCTGCTCTTCCCGCTGGTGCTCGCCACAAGTCTGCATCCGGAAACAAGCTCGCAGTGGATCCACTCTTTCGTGCTGCTCATCCAGTGCGGGAAACGTCATGATGGAGGATCCTCTCGTCGTCTTTCCTGCGCATGAAGTTGACGACAAGCCAAGGCTGTTCTCAGCCACTCCGGAGGATGATCCACTCTTCTCGACTGGTGGCTACTCTCATCATCCAGCAGGCGAGAAAATGGCTGCAAACGAGCTCCCAGTGCGCCTATCATCTCGACGCGACGGGGTTTCAGAGCAGTTTCATGGACGGGAACAAGGACGAAAGGTGGCGGATCGTTCTGGCACCGTGTTCGATCCTGGAGATGTCGCACCACTGGCAAAGAAGCAGGCTGAGATGGAGAAACAAATGCAGAAGTTCATCATGATGGACCCCCGCATCCGGCCTTTTTCCCACAGGTTAGTAGTCTCTGCACTTGAGCTGACAATATGGACTGATGAAGCTGAAACGACCAGGAAGGGCGATGTGGAGAACAGCCCCCAGATCATGAGCGACGAGAACCTCGTCTGGAAGTTGACAGCCAATGATCCCAAGCGGGTCAAGAGTGATTTGGAGGTGGAGCCATCTGCTCCGGGGCACCCTCCTCTGACATGTGAAAACGCCGACCAGGTACGAGCCTTTCTGTATCCTGGTGAGTTCTTCCACCTCTGAGAGAGACAGGGAACTTGACGAGGTACGTTTCTTGGAAGCCAATTTGGATAGATGCTACTCTTTGATTGCAGGCACTGCAAGAGACAAAACATAAGAACAAGTGAAAAACAAATAGAATAAAGAGCGAAAGCTCGTCATTTATCTGGCTTTCTCTTCAGTCCCTTCTATGGGCTTGATTAAGTCACAGGAAGGTCCTGTTGCCTTCCTCGCTTTTAATCGGGGTACAAAAGTTTAGGAGGAGCCATCGATATAAATTTTTTTTTTTAATTTTTAGAATCTAAACTATAGGTGCTTTGTTATGCTGGAGTTGGTGATAATATTATTGATTAGACAACACCAGAAATCCTACGGCCTCTCAGTTGGTTTTTCTCATGCAACTCAAATCAAATTCCATGGTGGTTTTGGTCGCAGGCCCCCAGAATGGTTATTTTTGGAGTGGTGTTTGTCATCGACGATGTTCTCCCTCGCATGACTCCCAGATTGTGGGAAGAGCCAAAGGGACGTACATCAGCGACGATTCCACCAACACCAACATCACAACCGGTTTGTTCTTGACATTCTTGGCTGTGTTCAAGGATGGGACAATGAGCATACGAGTATATATGCTCTCTATGACATGATCCTAGGTGGCAGTAGTGCCACCTCACTGATCCAGGTGCAGGCATGTATGACGATATATTTTAGCTATCCTTTGAGCCATCCTTGTCTGTTGTAGCTTTCTCTTTCCTTGGGTGCAGTGTGCTGTCCCAGATCTTGAAAACCGAGCTGTTGCAAGGCAACGCATGAATGTTGGAAGGCAAGATTTCTGTGGAATCCTGCTTTTGCAGATTCGACATGAGAACGTACAGCGCCGAGTCCCCTGGTTCCATCTCCAAGAGTTTCTCTGCGGCACGATGCAGCATCGATGTTCTTGCCGCTACCATGAACTTTGTAAGCGCTAAAACCTAAAACCGCATGCGAGGAAATGCGGCTGGAAGGGCATCACCAGCAGCAGACCTTCGGCCTCGGCAACCAGCCCGGCTCGTCCCAGCACATCTGCCATCACCTGGAAGTGAATCACATTTGGAGAAATGCTGTACTTGTTGTGATGTAAAAAGGGATGGACATAACACTCATGAGCTCGTTCATTGTGTTCCGACTCTTCTTACATGACTCAAGGGACACGACTCATGACCACGTGGACATGCCACGTCACTGATCGAGACTGACATCTCGACAGTACTAGGCCACACGGCGATGGAGGGCGAGGCGAGAAACAAGATAAGTTTCCAGGCGATTCTCCTGACTTGCAATCACGGTGGGAAGCTCCATGCTGCCACAAAACTCAGCGGATTTTCGCTCATGGCCATTCTGTACGCAGCCATGGATCATCGCGATGCTCTGATCAGGCAACGTGGAGAAGATCTTCCCGGCCTGCAAGAGATTCCCCCTTTGAGCGCTCACGGCAATCCAGCTCGCTGTGTCTCTCAGCTCCTGCGCTTGGACGAGGGCAATTGCTCTGGATGTACGACGCTATCGTGCTGTGGCATTTGGTCGAACAAGACTCTGGCATCGATCAAGCTCCCGTGCAAAGCAATTGCCGCCACCATTGCCGTCTAAGCGACGAAATCGCACTGTGGCATCCGTGCAAACATTTTCATGGCTTCTTCAAGGTGGCCGTGGTTGGAGGAGGCCAAGATCATGTCAGGCCACACCACGTCGTCGTGATAGGGAGGTCGATCGAAGAGAATGCGAGCTTCTTCGAGCTGGTTTCTCTCGGCCAGTGCTTTGCTCATTGTCGACCACGATGCAACGTTCTTCTGTGGCATGGCATCAAACAGCTTCTTGCAGGCTGGACGTTGCCGCTAGCATTGCGTTCCACGAGATTAAGTCGCGGTGTGGCATTTACTGAAAAGCTCCTTGGCTTTTTCATTATGCTCAAGCTGGGCATATGCAGTGACAAGAACAGTTGGTTTCGGGGATTCTCATAAACAAAATTAGCGCGTTGTTAACAAGACCTTTTTTTGCATACCCAGTAACCATAACAGCCCAAGAAACTCTGTTGTGTTCTAGCATTCCATCAAAGATCTGGCTTGCTTGATACATATGCCCGCCAGAAAACTACATTCCATTCTGGAACCTGATTAAACAATGCTCGGCATTCCTCCAAGTTTCCACGGTTTGCACGAACCGTCATAAAAATCATCCAAGCAACAATATCCCTCTGTGGCATCTGATCAAACAGCTCTTTTTCTTTCTCAAGATACCCACTTTGGGCATAAGCGCCAAGCAGCAAGTTCCAGGAGAATCTGTTGGGCTCGTGGATGCTGATAAACACCTGCCATGCTCGATCCGCCCGCTCGCAACTTCCATAGAGTTGGATGAGAAGATTTGCGAGGTACCTGTTGGATTGGTGGTGGCTGCTCCCAAGGATGAGCGCGTGGAGCCTGGCACCTTGACGCAAATCGATGCAAGCTGTGCACGTAGTCGTCCTTGAGCGACGATGCGCGCTGCTCTAGATCGTCCACGGCCTGTTCTAGAGGCTTGAATCGGTACGTCTGCGTGGTAGTGATTCCTATCATCTTACCGGCGTTTTCCTGGAGACTGACAAGATAGAGCTTTGATTTGTCAATGCGTTTCCATTATGCATGAGGTTCGACTAAACATTTCACCGACTTTATCCATAATCCGTTAACTTCATATCGATCCTATTTGCGCTTTCAAAGAACACGTTGTAACCAGCGCCGAGGGCATCGGTGGCAACTATCGGACTGGCAGCGTTGGGCAGCAGCCTTTGCGATTCCTCTCACGTCCACTCCCATGGCTAGCATCAGCAACATGGCGAGAACCGAAAACAACACCAGGCAAGCCTTGTTCTCCATGAAACAAAGAGTTCAACGAACTCTAGTATATTCGAGAGAAGTGATTTGATCTGCGAGGCCGCTCGTATTTATAGCTCCTGACGTAATCTAGGCAGCATACAATGCTAGAGTGGCGCCTCTTGGGACGGCATCACTTTGTCCTTTGAAAGGTAGTCGAGGAAGTCGTTTCCTTTTCTTTTCTATAATGCTGGGACAGAGCGAAATGAAGCTGTGAATCCAGATGAGTAAAGACAGCATTTTAGTTTTTTCACAGTTTATATAATATATGCACTCGTGCATCACCATGCGCCACTGCTAAAGATTTCACTGCCACTGAAAAGAACAAAATCCAAATAAATAGTTGGATCTTGACGATCTTTAGAAGAGAAGTGTGTGTTTAATTTCATTTTCAATCATGTTTTATATATGTTAGACTTTGTCTTGGGAAAGAGATCAGATTCGTTGAAAAACTTGTCTCCACTACTGTG